ATGCCCTTATTTGACATTAGACATCTTAACTAATACAAGTTTATCAACCTATTGGTTCGAGTATTTTGATTTGAAGTGTTAGTAGGAAGATATATTTTTTGGGATTTATAAACTTATATTAATATATTCGGACCAATAGGATGATAAACTTATATTAATTAAGCCGTGTAATAATATTTCTTTCTACTAACACTTCAAATCAAAATCCTCGAACTAATAGGATGATAAACTTATATTAATTAAGGAGTGTAAAGTAAACAAGTTGTGTGAAGTAAAGTAAATCCCAAAAAATAGTTTCTTCTATTAGCATTCAAATATACTTAGAATAATAGGATAATAAATTCATATTAACTAAATTGTTTAATGTCAATTAAATAAGTTGTATAATGCCAAGTAAATCCTGAAATATAGTTCCTGCAGTATTGCTATTAGCACTTTAAATCAAAATACTCGAACCATGAATGGTGTAGAAGAAGTTTCAATTCTCTAACTAACCACTGATTACTCATGTTTGTTAATTTAAGTGCAAGATGTACATACGCCATCTAGTCTGAAGTCTCTAACCCACTTGTGTTAGGAGTTATTAGTGGCCTGATTTAATAATACATACATTTATTTCAGGGATTTATAATCAGAATACTTGAACCAATAGGATGATAAAATTGTATTAATTAAGTTGTTTAATGCCAAGTAAATAAGTCTTATAATTTAAGTATATCCCAAAATAGTTTTTCCTAGTAGTATTTCAAACCAAATACTTGAAACAATGGGATGATATGTTTATGTATGTGAAATGACTAATGTTAGTTTTGTTTTAAAAAATAAAATAAATTGTATTGTCATATTGCTAGCATTTTTACATAGCAATATACATTTACTATACAAATACAAGTTATTGGTATAATTAAACTAATCATGTGTTAGATATTTTGAAAAACCTAAGAATTAAATTGACTGCGTTCAACCTCTGAACTTAATAAAATCTGCCTATTCTCCCCTAAACTATATTTCTACTTATTCTCACCCAAATAATTTGTTTTCTGTATATAATTCCCCATAACACCATTTTTGTAAATTGATCATAATTATTATTTTTATTTGAAGAGAAAATATGTAAATAAAAAGTTGTTTGGGTGAGAATAAGCAGTGGTCTATAATTTATGGGCGATTAAGTAGATTATGCATATTATGAGGGGTTGGCGGCAACCAACAAAAAAATAAACTATTCAGGAAAGTTTTTTTGTTTCTCTAATGATGTAACATTATATATGTATCATTTTAAAAAAAAAATCCTAAGAAAAACTACTAAGAGCATATTTATTATAGGGTTAATTTGGCCACTAACCATAACGGGACTGGAAATTAAAAATATAGTCATAAGGAATTAAAAATAAAGAAACTAATCGAAAACCCTAAATTATATATTGACTTTTATTTGCTGGGAAGAGAGAGTGGGAAGAGAGATAAAAGGAAATTTCATACTATTTTATTTTTATGCAATAACATATATATAATAAAATAGTATAAACTTGTTACAAAAAGAGAAAAAACTTAACATATTTTAAAACTAAAACACAAACTATTATTTACCATACCCAAACCTCTGAACATAAACCAAAATTATTAAACTATATAGAATAACCAATTTTTTAAAAAATCTAAACCCTAAACCTTAAACCCAAATTATAAAGTATTTGAACCAAATTTTAAAACTAAACTCAAGCCACTACATAGTATACTTAATGAGGACATTGATTATATTCAAACCGTCATACCATACCCTTATGCCATAAGACATTACCCCCTTGCAAGTCATAATCTATTATAAATCTCGAGAATCCAAAGAATTTAAAACTAAATCCAAAGCACAACAAACTTTACCTCAACTCCTATTATTTATCATACTAGATTATATTTGTGTAATAAAACTAAATCCTATAAATAAATCTTAAATTCTCAAAACTATAATTTAAACTTAAAATACTAAATATAAATCCAACGATGTAATTTATAAATTCTTAAAAATCAGTTTTAATGTTTGGGTATTTTCGATATATATTTTATAAAATTCTATACTATGTAATTTATATAGTGTTGTTGTACTTTATATATAATAGCATAGAACTTGAATCACTAATTTGAAGGACGTGTGTTGATGTTATTTTGGCAAATATTAAAAATGAAAGTTATAAATTATTGTCGAACGTGAGTCTAAGATAAACTGCAGTACAACCAACAAATTCGACTAAACCATCTAATCACATAATTGCATAATATAGTGACAAAACATGGAAAGTAGTATAATATTATATTGTTTCAGCTTCTTGATCAGCCCCGGCTCAAGTGGGGTGGGCAGAAGTGCACCCGCCCAGAGGCCTAACCCATTTATTTTTGAAATTCTGCATATAATAGGGCTCGTATTAAAATAAATAAACCCAAATAGTTATATTTTTAATTTAAATTAGTATTTATTAATAAAAATTTTATTAAAAAAAACCTAAAATTTTAAAATTTAATGTAAATTTTTATATTAGAAAGCCCAAATATTCAAAATTTAGTGAAATTTATATGTTAGTAGGCCCAAAAAATTTTTTTGCCCTAGGGCTCCCAATATCATTGGGCCGGAGCTGTTCTTGATTGACAAACAACATCATTGCCACTCAACTTCTGGCCTGCATTCGTCTATCATTGCTCTGGTTAATACAAGCCCACAAGTTTTTCTCTAATAATAATCGTCTGTAAATTTTATAAAAAATGTACACTGCCTTAATTAAAACCGTGAAAAAATAGTATTGCACTATATTACTTCAACTCCATTATTTCTATACTATAAATTTAGCATTTTCTAGTACTATATTGCTTTAGTTATTATAACCAAAATCCACCTAATAAGATATTCCAAAACAACAAAATTTATATCACTTTTCCAAAACAATCAAACAATTTCAGCAAGAAATTCAGCTAAAATTAATATAAATCCAACGAAAATAAAGACAAATTATGATACATTACAAAAGTTACATCATTTGGAGAAAATTTCAAAACTGAAATAGAGGAGAGCGATTATCGGTGATGTTTACCTCCAACAGCAGCTACAACCTTGTTCAAGCGCTAAAGAGGATCTTTGAATTTCTAGTTGAAATACATACACGCCGCTTTAGAGAACTTTGGCTCGGAGTGTGAAGCCGGAGAGGCGGATGCGGATGCGGCGGTGGAGGCGGGTTGTTGTTTCTTCTTCTTATAAGCGTCTTTTTTTTCTTCGGGTTCTCTATGGTGGCATCTTGGGCGAGAGCGTGGATTAACTGCGCGGAAGACTGAAACTGAGCTTTGAGCTTGCCGTCTTCACCACGGATTATCCAAGGGATGAAGAGCTGCTGGAATGCGCCGCTGTTGCCACCCCCGCAAGTGGAGAAAGGTGTGGGTTTGGGAGGGTCGAATGAGATGTTGAATTTAATGGGCTCTGAAGAGAAAGAGGAAGATAGAGAACAACGGAGTGTAAATGTGGAAAAAAAGCAAAATAAAGAGGAAGAAAGAAAAATGGTAATTTGCCATTAATACATATTATACACAGAATATCATAATCATCATTTATTATGGTTATTTCATTAATTTATTTTCTAATATGGTTATCAGATGCAATTTTTCTTTATTATAATTTTTTTTTAAATACTCTAATTTTTGTAACTTTATTTTTGTTAATGTTTTTTAAAAAACATATTTCTTATATGAGTTATATAAATTTTATACATATAAACTATATATATATATTAATCAAAAAATATTTCATTCTAGATTTGGAAATTTTATATTATTTTGGGATAAAAATAAATCAGATTTTGGATCCTCGATACAATTGTAACCAATAAACAATTAATCACAAAAAATTACTATTTATATAACTGTTTAGATCAAAGTTGTGTGTGTTATTTTTCAGTAAATCCGGTTTACAAATATAATTTATTGCTCACCAGTAAAAAAAGAAACTTAGTTTACTGTGAAGCTGGTATATGGTTTGGTAAATCTGCTATGTCACAATCAGATGTTGATGTTAATTATTTTAAAAAGAGAAAAGAATTAAGAATAAGATCCAACAAATTGAGGTTGTTCTTGATTATATGAGTTTGGAGTTAATTTGCTTGTAAGCTTAAGAAATCAATGTCATATTTCTTTGCTGTCGATTAAAATACTATTTGACGACCATATCACAATGGAATGAATGAAATATATATTTTTTTAAAAATATACATTGAACCTATTATGCACAACATGCAGGCTAGATACTAGTTTAGGATAATTCTTTTACAAGTTTGGCGAAATTTAAATAACTTTAAAATTTAGATATTTTGAATCATTAAATCAGTTAAGATAAAAAAAAAATGAATTATTGTATGAGTTTTCTAGATTCATATATCCAAAGTCACATGTTCTAATCCATTTTTTGTTTCAGCGTTCTAACCCAGTTATGTAAGAAAAAAACCAATTTTTGACAAATTTAAAAAGAAAACACTTAAAGAAAACAATTGCTTCATGACCATCTCAAATAAGTTTCCAGTTTTGTTTAACCTGAAATGTGAAGATACAATTACAAAAATGTTAGATGGTTTGATTAATATCCGTTTTTTGATTTTAGTTGAACAAAATAACCCTCAGACTTTACCATAATTTACAAAGTATTTATCATCTATGGAAATTGAAAACCCACCACATGTGTAATGCATGTCGTGTTAATTGAACCAAAACAATGAGTTTTAAACCTCAGTTTTCAAATCACCGTCAAGACTTTTAAAAAGTATAATTTATTTTGTAGTTTGTTTTCGTTTTATGTTCCATTCTGTTCATGCTTATCGAAGATGAATCTTGTATCCAACAATTGGTTTATGACTTTTTTTCATCAACATACATTATGTCTGTTGAATCTAGGTAATAACACAAGAACATCACTGATTCACTAGTACAGATCAGTATACTAGTACTACATGTTATCATCAAATTTAATATAGAATTAATCACCAAATCAGAGGTCGGCCGGGTAAGAAAGTTTTTTTTTTTAATCTCTATATTCATATATTTTTGTTTTAATAATTTATTAGGTCCGAGCTTATCCGACAAGGGTGAGATGCTCCGCCGCAACATCGCGAGCCTCGAAGAGGAGAAGAAGCGAAGGCAGTCGAAAATGGTATTGCATTCACATTCACGTTCAGTTGGATACTAATTTTTTGTTTGCTTCCTGTCTCTCTTTGAACCATGTTGCTTAATTAAATGAAATTCGAGTTTGATGCGTGAAAAATAAATTATTAGATACCATAAGATATGGAGAGGATCGATTTTACAAATGCTTGGGGTTTCTCAAGTTTCTGCTAAAGCTTTGTTCTTGTTGATTACAATTGTCTCTGTCTTCAGTGTTCTTTCTCTCATCTTCCAAGCTAGACTATGTGTATGATTCATAGTACTCATGGTAACTACTAGGCAAATCAGTTGGTATTAAAAAAGTCCATAGGGCGACTTTAAATTCTTATCCTAGAGCCAGGTTTTTGATTTATTAATGTCTGATTACTCATTTCTTGTAAATGATAGATGTAGCTTCCGCTGTCACTTGGTATAGAGAGCTATTGGCCAGTTGATGCATCGCATAATCATAAATATTAATATAGTTATGTATTTTTCCTATTTTAGTTATGTAATGGGTTTTCAATGTTTTTAGGCTTTCGTATAAATAACATTTTATATCTCCTATATATTAAAAGAGAATTATTTTTTAAAGAGAAATCTTAAATTTGTATGAATATTACAATGATGCCATTTTGCTGATGTGTCAACCTAATATTCATTCTCAGCTATTTAAAAAAAAAAGACTTAGATTACTAAATTAATTACATGATATGTCATTGTATATTTTAGGTCCATAAATATGTTATATTTTATTTTTTAAATGAATTCAAAGGTAATAATATTAGAATTAATAATTTAATAAAATAAAATTTGTTTAATGCTAAATATAATATACACAAAATTTATTATATAATATTTTTAAAATATTATCCATATATTTTATTATAAATTTATAATAAAATATATAATATTTTTTAATGTTTACTATTTTTATCATTCATAGTAAAATATATAATACTTATTATTAATGCTTACTACTTTAAAAAATATGTTTATTGATTGTTTATAAAAATAAAATTCTTATAAAACAACTGAAAAATTAAAAACTAATATTTTATTTTTCTCAAATTCATAACAAAATATATAACACTTTACTAATGTTACTACTTTTATTAGAAAATATGTTTATTAATTATTAATTAAAAATATTTTTATAAATATGACAGAATAATTAAAAATAATATTTTATTTTTCTCAAAAATATGTTTATTAATTGTTTATTAAAAAATATTTTATAAATACAACAGAATAATTAAAGATAATATTTTATTTTTCTCAAAAATCAATCAGAACAAATAAAAGAAAGTCATAATAATTTTATTCACATATTTTTGTAATTATAGCATGCATGAAAATAACTGTGGAAACATATATAATATCTTTTAAAAATTTATAATAACATATACAAAAATATATATTAAAAATATATGTTATTTTCGTCATAAACATCAATTAAAAGGAAAATGATGAATTTCTAAAATTATTATGATATATATTATTCAATATCAGTTTTACTATATAAGAAAATATGATATATTTCATTATGATTTAATTTATATATGATTGTTAGATGACAAATATGGTATATAGCATTATTGCTTACTTTTTTTGGTAAAAAAATCATAATATGATAATACCAATATTAATTGTTTATTTTTTAATTAATGTTTGATTTAGCATATATAGTATCAAATTTTCAGCAAGATTTGTTCATGTTTTTTTTAGTTTGTCTGTTTTAAATCAATTAATTTAATTACTGTGAAAATTTTATAAATTGATAATATTGTGATTTCAATATTTTCTTAATTTATAGAATTATAAATTTATCGGTTTGGAACTAAATAAATTATTTCTTAATAATTAAATAAAAATTGTATAATTAATTAAAAAACTAAACTGTCAATGTTATTGTATAATATTATATAAAATTCATATTCTCAAACAGGAGAAGAAAATCAAGTGGCTCACCATGCTTATGAGACGGTACTAATTGGCACAGAAAATCGAAAGTGTTAAAGGTGGCTTCAGAGGGGAGTAGAAACACAAATCTAGGCCACTCTTTTGGGTTTTTGGAACACTTCTCATTTTGGTTTTTGGTGGTTTCTTTGTTCTCCTTTCTCCTGTGTTATTTGGACTAATGCTTTGGATTATGTAAACCCTTTGGATCAGTGTTTTTTGTTAGTGTTGGTTTTCATTATTTGGGGTATTTAGTTTGGTTTGTGTTTGTGCAAAAAAAGAAAGAGAGACTAGAGATGTTGTTGTAGCTGTGGTGAATGTGCTGAGCCTGAGCTAGTCTAGCACCACAACGAGTGTCAACATAACGAAAAAGTGACATGGACACCAATAAACATGTGTTGTTACACACTTAAGAGTTCCACCAGACATATTGAGAGAGCTTTTATGCTAAAGTATTTCAAGATGTTCTAGTATATATTATAGAGATGTTGAGAAACCAAGTGATATATGTTGATGATTCTGAGAGTAACAAAGTCAGGGAGGTCTTGTGGTTTCAGTAGAGAGATGGTTACAATTCAATGTGTTGTCATTTAGAATTGAACTTGTAACAAATTATGTTTTATGCTTGTTAACATTTTTGAGAATGTTAAAACACTAAAAAGAAATTAGGGTTTTTTATTTAAATTTGGTTAACCTATTTTCCCAAATATTAATTACTAGCAAATAATTACAAAAGATTAAAGTAAATAAAAAAGGTTTATTTGGGAATGAAGAAGACATATGGAAAAGAAACTGATAGTGAAAATTCTGGAACAATAGACAGACATATGGGGAGCGCGACTAAAGCCGAAAGAGAAACTCCGTTTGTGAATGACGAAGGGGAGGAATATTGAAGTAATAGAGGTTGATTCTGTGGAGAAGAAAGAGAAAGATTTCGAGATTAATTGGAATACGGTGATGGAAGAAGACGACGGAGGCGGAAAGGAAGATGAAGTGCCGAAGCTGGTGATTGTTAGCACCAAAACTCTTCCGCCACCACCACCGCCGTCAACTATTTTCTCCGGCGATCAGATGGACTGTCAGAAAAAACTAACCGATCACGCCCTCGAGGACCAGCTGGAGCGGAACAAATCGCACCTCGTGAAATTAGGTCCGAGCTTACCCGACAAGGGCGAGAGAATCCGCCTCAAAATCGCGAGCCTCGAAGAAGAGAAGCAGCGAAGGGCTTTACGACGCTCGAAAATGGTTTGCATTCTCGTTCAATTGCATATAATTTTGGGATCTTTGTCTTGGTTTGCTCGAAGAGTTTGCTTTCGCTGTGTATAATGAAGAAGCTTATCTAATGGAATTCGAGTTTGATGCTTAGAAGATAAACCTAAATTTTAGATAAGGAGATGATCGATGTTACAATGTTGTGTTTTTTGTTTTCAAGTTTCTGCTAAAGCTTTTTTTTTTTTTTTTTTTTGCTCTTGTTGGCTGCAAATTTCTTTGATCTTTTAGTGTTGGTTCTCTTATCTTCCCAAGCTAGATTCGAGCTCATGTATGCGTATAGTCAATGTCATTGTAACTACTAGGCACAGAACATTCATAGTTTGTGTAAATCAAAAGGGATTTTATGATAGAAATGGTTATCTGAGAGTTGATATCATCTGATCATAATGCCATAAGTCTCTTTCGTTTTTTGCAGGATGAGGACAAACCTTCGACGCTAATGCATGCGACAAGCTCAGGTATCTTGTTCGACATTTGTCCTGTTCTAAGATCTTCTTGGAGTTCGACTTCATTCGCATTTGCAAAGCTTAGAGTCTCAGTTTTGTGATTGGTTTCTAAAGTTTGTTTTTTTTTTTAATTCATCTCCCAATTTTCTGGAGTTTAGTTTAATGCACCACGTTTCACTTAGGTTCAACTGTGTTTGCGCGAGGGATTGCAGCCTCAAAAGACACCACTAGACAAGGGAATACAGACTCAAAAGAAGTTTCACGGTCAACATTTGCTGCTGTTTTTAGTAAACCGAAAGTATGGGAGCTTCTACATTATACCAATTTTAAACTTTTTTTAAAGATAGCTAGCTCATAATGCAGCTTTGTTATATATGTTCAGCAGACGGATACTCAGTCATCGAAGGCGTTTGGTAAAGAAGTAGAAGACTTGGGATGTGAAAATGGGAGACACAAGGCTGATAAAAATACTCAGCCAACGAAGGCGTTTGGTAAAGAACTAGAAGATTTGGGATGTGCAAGTGGAAAACAGAAGGCTGATAAGAAGACTGTGACAAGGTCGAACAACAAATGGCGGTTGTTGCCAGACGTTGGGAAAGCTGAGAACAGTGGGAAACAGTTAAATTCTGGATTTAAAGGGTCGAAAGGGAACCAGAAGTCCAAGGAATCTTATGTGAAGAAAAAGCCCAAGGATTCTTCCACTTATTCTCTGCTTGACGATGATAACAACGACTCTAATGGCCACGAAACTCCTTGGTACTTTTCCTTTCTCCTTTACCTACTGTTTCTGCTTCTGTTTCTGCTTTGTTGTGAGATGCCGTCTTGACACAGAAGATAATGAGTTGTATTGTAATCTCTCATCCTCTTTCTCTCATAGGGAGTGGGAAGAATATAAATTACAGAGTTCAAAGCGCCGTAAGGTATTCTTGCTTACTACTGTTATCATATATTGCATTTTTGTATGCAATCATTATAGCCCTGAAGAAATATACTCGAGCAAGAGCATAGATCTTTTGTTATTTTCCAACCAACAATTTTTATGAATTCCTTACAAAAGACTTCAGTTTTCTTTGGCTTATCTAATATTCTCCTTACTCTTAAGACATTTGCTATGCTGTGCTTCTAACTTGCTGATAACATTCTCTTCAAAAACTGTAGAAATCAGACGGTACAGTAATTAAAGTGGATGAAGAAGAAACTCAGCCTGCACCAGTGTCAGAGCAAGCTGTTGAACTGCCTGAAGGGTAAAAACTCTCTGTTCTGTGTTTATAAGTTACTATCTCGGCTGTACATAACCTACTAATATTTGGTGAATCCTGCAGCTTACCGGAAGAGATATGTTACCCATCAAGGTAAATTTAGCTCAGTATTGATATAGGCTTTTACTTACCGCAATTCTCAATAATGTTTCTCTTCACTGATTCAGGGATGATCCGAACTTTGTTCAAGTTTGTCTTAAAGATCTTGAGTGCCTTGCGCCTCAAGAATTTCTTACATCGCCGGTGATGAATTTCTACATCAGGTGAGTCCTCACCTGAAACGATAGACTTTTGCAGTATATGTTATCTTGTATTGTACTGTCTACATTTTTCAATTCCATCCAAATTTTTGTTAATGTCATTATTGTCCTTTGTTTTCTTTGGCTAGGTTCTTGCAGCAGCAGCTAATCTCTGATGATTGTCACTTTTTCAATACTTATTTCTACAAGAAGCTTAGTGATGCTGTTACGTACAAGGTGATCAATGGTTTTCCAGTGCACTGTGTTTGCTTCGCATGATTCACATCTTCAATCTTTGTTACATCTTAATCAGTGGCTTTTCATTTCTATAAAATAGGGAAATGACAAGGATACATTTTTTGTGAAGTTCAGGCGTTGGTGGAAGGGAATTGATCTGTTTCGTAAGGCGTATATATTTATACCAATACATGAAGAGTAAGTATTTTTTTCCTTTTTACTCCTGTAGTTACAGCTTCAGTGGCAAATGAAATCGAAAACAATATGTTTAGACTGTTTGATAAGGTTTCTAAAGAAAATATGTATTCACCATGATTCTTGATGTTGCAGTCTCCACTGGAGCCTAGTGATAGTTAGCATTCCAGACAAGGAGGATGAATCGGGATTGACTATACTTCACCTGGATTCATTAGGAATTCATTCTAAAAGATCAATTGTTGAAAATGTCAAAAGGTAGAGCTTTAATCTTCTATGCATATATATATGGTTTCAAACTTTCAAGATGATATTTAAGTGGTTTGAAATATGTAAACTTTTTGCAGGTTTTTAAAAGACGAATGGAACTATTTAAATCAAGATGATTATTCCTTAGATTTACCAATCTCGGAAAAAACGTGGAGAAACCTCCCACGGAGGATTATTGAAGCTGATATACAGGTAACTTTCCTTTAGACTGTTTCCTACTGAAACCTGACTATTTAAACACACTAGAACCACACAAAGCGGGTTAACTTTTCTGATGGTATTCTCTTTTCTTTGTGTAAACAGGTTCCGCAACAGAAGAACGATTTTGACTGTGGTCCGTTTGTTCTCTTCTTCATCAAACGATTCATCAAAGAGGCACCTCAAAGGCTGAAAAGGAAAGACTTGAGTATGGTGAGTGATCTCAGAACTCTCTTCCTGATACTAAATCCATATGTATTGTATAAACTCATGTTGCTTCGATTTATCTAGTTTGACAAGAAGTGGTTCAGACCTGACGAAGCCTCCGCACTGAGAATCAAAATCAGGAACACACTCATCAATCTTTTCCGAGTCAGTAATCAGACAGGTTGCCACAATGACAAGACAGAAGAAACCAGTACAGAACAAAAAACATCTGATGACAATGCAGGTTCCAAGTCAAGACATTGCTTACCGCTCTAACAGAGTTTAAGGTTTTTCTCTTGTATAGGCGCTACAAAAAGTGAGGTTTTCATTTTGGGCAACAGTAGAATTAAAAATCGGCTCCATATCCCATAAGTTAAGTTGTAACCCACTTTACATTTTTTGTTATAATCATTGTGGTCGCCGCTTTTGAAGAAAATAAAATAAAATTGATATTCAGTGTCATGTTACAACATTGTGGATTTTTTAGTTTCTTTGTCCTAATCTTGACACTTCGAAAAAAAAATCAAACTGATGCTTTTAGAGCGGTGCGGAACCGCTCAGGCACCCGCATAACCGGTGCTTGAACCGACCCAAGCATGCCAAGTTGCCCACATGCAGCCATTTGATCATTGCCTCGGCTAAACCGCATTAAAACGGTGCAGCCTCCTCCGGCCAAAACGTTACGGAACTTGATCATCTGGTCTTCATCGGTCTGTACGAACTGAGAACCACTGTGTGGGTTGAACTGAATAAGGTTGATCTTGCATGGAATCCCCTGCACAAGCTCCACTAGCCTACTTGCATCATCCATGCTGCACACAATTTAGTCAGTAATTTTATTAGTGGAGAAAATTGCGAAGCAGGGAGCTTAAAACGGTGGGTCTCTTCACTCACCTATCATTCACTCCTGCAAGCATCACGTATTCGAACAACACTTTGTACTTGTGCTTTGAACTGAGTTCTTCTCTGAGCGTCTCAAGGAGCAAAGATAACTTGTATTTCCTGTTGATGGGCATGATCCAGTTTCTGACCTGCACAGTCCACGCTCATGAGGTCAGACCATACACCATGAGACGATGGCTGTCTTAAAGAGATGAGTGAAGAGAAAGAAAAAAACCTCATCGGTTGTTGCATTCAGACTGACTGCCAAAGCGCAGTTCGATTCACGGAGAAACCGCTTCAGCTGAGGAACAAGGCCACTGGTAGAGACTGTGACCTTGCGGGGACTAAAGTGAAGTCCATTCTCGTCTACCATTATGTTTGCAGCTTTGATGACATTGTCAATGTTGTGAAATGGCTCTCCCATTCCCTACAAAACACATCATGAAACTGAAGAAACGGGTTCGACCTCAAGTGTGATCTGTCTAGCGAACATGCATTACCATGAATACGACATTTGTTATTGACCCAACTTCATGTGAAAGCAATCGCCTGGCGTAAACAGCCTGCTCAACTATCTCAGCAGCAGTGAGGTTTCTCTTCAAACCCATCCTGCAAAAAGCAGATAAACTACAAACATTACACCAGGAATCGCAAATCCGAGAAAGAGACTCAGGCTCAAGAGATTTTGATTTCTACGTATTGTAACTTCATTGCTTTACCTGCCAGTGTAACAGAACTGACAGTTCATTGCGCAACCCACTTGGCTCGAGACACAAACTGTTGTCCTGCCACGATCACAAGGTATAACAACTGTCTCGATCACAAGTCCATCATCCAACGTGAACAGAATCTGCAACATCCTGCGAGTTATGAATCAATGAGAAGATTCACCAAAACTCAATTCAGATATATAAACAGTTCCTCAGTCCATTGGCATCACAAAAAATTACGAAGATTTGGAAAAACAGAAATGAATCTATTCACCTTTCTAGTTCCATCTGAAGCCGAACGAACATCCTTCAAAGATAATGCTCCAAACTCGGCATGTTCACTGATCATTCTCTTGAAATCTTTGTTCAGGCCTATAAGAACGGACGCATAAACTTTAAAATCAATCGGCATTGCTGAATCATAAAATCTTCTGGGGAGAGACATAACAGTACACAAAACCTTCAAGCTCATCAGCATCATTTGCCCAGACGTTGTCTTTGTATAATCTCTTCCACAGCATCATAGCTTGTCCCGGTCGAAACCCATGAGATTCAACCCATTCCTACAAGAAATCGACCCAATTCAACATTTGTTCCAGAGAGATTCAATCAATCAGGCATTGTTCACTAAGTGATAGAAACATTATTCAACAATCTCTAATTATAGTATTGGCTGAAAGCAACCCAGAAAGGAGAAATCGAACCAGAATTACGAAATTCAAACTAATTAGATTGAAGAAACGACTGAGAATTGAAGAACGTACTTGAAGCGCAGCATAACTCATACCCTTCAAGACTACCTTCTGGTTATCATCATCTCTCGCTACAGAACCTTACAGATATAAATAATCACCGGTAAATTCTACGTTCCTCAGCAAAATCCGGGACGGAAACAGTCCTTGAATCAAAGTACTAACTTGTAGTTGATGAGAACTCGTCGAGTGTAGGAAGATAAGCTGCCGAAGAAGAAGAGAGGCATGAGGAGGAGAAGGTGACGAGGCTTCGGGATTCGAGGAAACGAATGGAATTGGTAAGACGGTGGTGGTTGCGGAGGGGGGAGGGTAACGCTAGGTTTTCGGCGAAGGCCGCCGTCGAAGAGAGTAGCGCCGGGGCGACGCCAGCGGAGTTGGTGACACTGATGATTTCTAGACGCCTCATTGTCGACAGACGACGAATCATTATCCCCATTTCACTTACGGCCTTCCATCAAGTCCAGTATATTAGGTGATCGATCGCACATACGGACAAGCACGATTTTTTAAACTAAAAGTAAGCTAATTATAATTTTAAGTACCATCTTTAGTATCATTTTTTATTTCAAATTCTTCATCTACAATAAAAATATATTTATATATATATATATAAATATAATATAAATTTTTGTATTATTTTAAAATATGATAAAAAACAAAATGAAATGAGAAACTATGTAAATTCATAAAAATAATAATATAAAAAGTTATAAAACTATATATAAATATATAGTCTTTTTATATTATACAGTAATAACTAATATATATTTCATTAATTTCACATAGTAAATAGTATTTTAGATAGAAAAAATTCTATTCATCAGAATCTCTATCATTTCGAATCTGTCCTAATAAGTAGTAAACGTTGTGGACACTCTAAACCACTATACGAGTCTCGCGCTAGGGCATGTAATCTACTTCCTAGAATGCAGACCTATTCGGCGGACAAAAAATTTGCTAGAATCCGTACAAGAGTCGTGGCACTATAAAAAATTATGTGTATTGTATTATTTATTTTATTTGTTAATATTATTTTATAATTGATACAAATTCAGTTACATCATTTAATTAAATGACTCTGAAAGTGGTAATTCTAATTATTTATATCATATTCATGATTAATGCAACTGTTTTTATCATTTTTATTAATTAGTGTTAATATATATCACTTGCAATAAATATTAACATTTGCATCAGTTAATATAATTGAACTATTGAAGTAAATATTTGCATCAGTTATTATAAATGATGTTACTATTTGATTCGGTTATAACAATTGATGTAAATTTATATATATTATATATTCTAGTTGATACTATTATTATATACATTTATGTAAATTTTAAATTTTGTGTTAATGGTTTTATAATATTATCAATTTAAGATATCTAATCATTTTATATTTCTTTTTTTGAGGAATATATTTAAATACATATATATGATTTAACATAAAAAAAACCTTGTGTTGATAAGGAGAAAACTAATACACGTTATCTTTCCTTAGTGATGTAGGAAAAATAATTGTTTAGTAAAAAATTTGTCTGTATCATTTTTATAATTGAAACAAATATTAATATCATTTATTATTGATGTTAATTTTAAACTATTTAATTAATTTGATACTAAGGCTAGTTGGTCAAATGATTCAGTTATATAGTTGATGTAAATTCATATATTTTTATGTTAGTTTTTTAAAAGTGATGTAAATTTTAATAACTTGTATCAGTTTTTTAAAATTGATGTTAATCATATTAAAATATCAATTTTACAAAAATGATGTTAATCAAGTTAGTAGTAGTATCAGTTTTTGTAATTGATATTAATCAAGTTAATAATAATATTAATTCTTTGAATTTATGTAAAATTATATATTTAGTATCAATTTTTAATAAGTAATTTTAAATATAGTTATTTAATTTTATGACACTTTATTAATGATATTATCTAACTTATTTTTTGTAGTGTGAGACTCACTAAAATGAGGTCGTGAGGTTGGACAAACGAAAGGATGAGCGGTAAAGGCTAGATAAATTGGTAAAACCGGAATAAGAGGAGGAACAACTGATGAGTCTCATGGACTTTATCTAGAGTTAATCCTCTTGGTCGGGATGTTTAAGAGCTCTTACCTGACATCTTTGACCAGAGATAGCCGTCCTTAGACTTCACCTCATACATCTGAAATATAATATTGAAAATAAACAAAAACAACTAATACTCACAATAACACATAAAAGTCAACAAAAAATTTAAATATATTCAAGAATTTATCTATTTTACATTATTTTTCTATTCGATTAATTCCACTGCTACTTCTATAGCTAAACACAATTAATATAGTAAGATTTTTTTTTTCCAGAATAAACTTTGATATGCTGCAATGTGACACTCTAGAAATTGTCATGTGTCATTTTTTAAGTCTTTTTACTATTCATTGAGAAATAGTTTAAGTTTTTTTTAAAATAGTTCTTTTTATTATTTATTGATAAATAGTTTAAGTTTCACTGTTTTTTTTTGGTCAGGAAGTTTCACTGTTAAAAATATAGTTTTACTTTGACAAAGTAAGAAATATGACAAGATTAAGAAAAAAAATATGATATCAATAATTTATGGCTAAAATATATATATATATATATATATATATCTATTCTAATATTTTTTTGTTGTTTTTTAGAATGAGCTTTGAAATGCTGTTATGCACTTAACAAATTGACACATGTCATTCCTATTTAATTATATATTTTTTTTTTACAATTAGTATAAAACTAAAAAGATTAAAAGTAGGTTATCACTAAAAAAGAAACAAACTGTTATTATAATAAAAAAACTTATAAATATAGTTTTGCTTGGAAAATTAAGAAACATAATATGATTAAGAAAAAAATATGATATCAATAATTTATGATTAAAACATATATATCTATCTATTCTAATTTTTTTTAAATGAACTTTGAAATACTGCCATGTGGCACTCAACTAATTGACATGTGTCATTTCTATTTAAATATATTCTTTATTTTACAATTTGTGTAAAACTAAAAACTCTAAAAGTAGTTTATCACTATAAAAATAACAAACTGTTATTATAATAAAAAAACTTATAATTTTTTCATCCTTTATTTGAATTTAAAAATTCTTATAAATTGTGTCTCATCTTTTATTTTCTTTTACTTATATTCAGTGTTTAAAAACACAATTAAAAAAATTAGAAATTTAAATAATAATCAAAACATAAAATAATATAAAAGACATATGTTATAGAAATGTTTTTTTACTACACATATATAATCTTAAGAAACAAATGACCAACAAACAAACAAAATAATTTAATTTTTCATTTCCTTTCAATCAAAATACTCTATTCAATTTTAAATTTAAAAACAACCATGCTCATTAAAACAGAAATCGTAATAAAATAATTACTAAATATTAAATTTATGGTCAATTATAATAAATATAAACAATATGAAAAATAAATTAAAAGTCAATTATAAAAATTTTAAAAGCAAATTAAAAAATTGAAAAATTAAAATACTAATCTACAATATCATCTAATATAATATTAAAAATAAACAAAAACAACTAATACTCACAATAACACATAAAAGTAAAGAAAAATTTCAAATATATTCAAAAATGTATCTACTCATATAGCTAAACACTATTTTATCTAATAATTAATCAATTTATTACATGGTAATCTCTTATTAATTCTATTTTCCGAATATTTAATTAAATATTAGATTTTTTTAAGCTATCATAATTTATAAACAATTTAGATTCATTTTCAAAATTGTTTGCAATGCCATTATGCTTTTTCAAGGAATAATGAAAATTTTTGCATTGCATTGTTTCTAAGGTTTTTGAAAAAAAAAATTAAGTATTAATATTCAAATAAACTAAAGATTACAGTTTGTACATAAATCTAACATGTAATGATTTCACTCTCAATATAATCTGAAAAAGATAAAACCAACAAAAAATAAATTAATTGCATGCCTCTTTTTCTACCAATCAAAATATTTAATTCTGATTTAAATTCGATTTAAAAAACATATACTCTTTAAAAAAAACAGACTAGATAATATAATAGTAACTCCAGCTTAATACTCGCATTAAATCTTTTTATTTTCACCCTGTCCCTCCACCGGACCTTCACTCTTCCTCTGTTGCACCAGCCCTTTCTCTCCACCGTATATAATTTCTTTTAAAATACTCTTCTTCTTTGGTGTGGTAACATGCATCATTTTCCTCAATCCACAGCCCACAACAAAGGTTGGCTTAAAAAGCCTCTTCTTTGCTTCCCCTCTTGGTGCCACCGTCAAGGTTTGGGTAATAGGTACACAATAAGCTATCTCAGGGAGGTATGGAGGAAATTCAGACCGGATTTTCTCTTTCTTTCTGAAACTAAGCAGTCTTTTACTTTTATTGACCAATTTAAATTACATTTTGGGTATGATTTATTATTTACAGTTGATCCGTGTGGTGCCAGTGGCGGACTGGTTTTATTTTGTAATAAAAACTTTGATGTAAAAGTTTTATTTTCTAATAAAAGAATAATTGACATTGAGGCTTATATTGAAAGACAATTAGTTTATATGTCTTTTGTATACGGGGATCCAGTTCAAAAATTAGGGGATCAAGTGTGGGAACGAATAACAAGAACGAGTTTAACAAGGAACAAACCGTGGTTTTTAATCGGTGACATTAATGAAATCACCGGAAATCACGAAAAGCAGGGAGGGATAATAAGGCATGCGTCTACCTTTGTTGGCTTCAATACAATGATTAGCAATTGTGGATTAATTGACTTCCCAAATCAGGGAAACATATTGTCTTGGAAGGGTAGACGTAATGGGCAAAATGTACGGTGTAGACTGGATAGGGGTCTTGCAACAGAGGAGTGGCACGATTTATTTCCATATTCATATGTGGAATATTTGAGGATGATAGGCTCAGATCACCGGCCTATTGTCGCAATAATTGAATCAAAAAATTTACAACGGAAAAATCTGTTTCGGTTTGATAAATGATGGATAGGCCAGGAAGGATTGATGGATGCCATAACACGGGGTTAGCGGGAACAACATCCTCAATCATCCTACTCCCTGGTTGATAGGATTGTAAATTGTAGACATGAAATTTCTAAATGACGCCAAATTAGTAAAACATTTGGCAGAACCAAGATTGAAGAAGTGCAAAGGGAACTGGAGGAGATTCAGACAGATGATACATGCATCCAAGATGAGCTAAATGAAATTATTCAAAAGCTTAGGGAAGCATACCGAGAGGAGGAAGACTTTTTGCAACAAAAAAGTCGAAATCTCTGGAACAGATATGGGGATCTTAATACAAAATATTATCACGGTATTACAAAACAACAGAGGACAATTAATAGGCTTGTCGGGTTACATGATAGTAATGCCACATGGGTAACTG